CCACTTACCTCCCAAAGACCGATTAGATCACACAGATTGGGCCTCCTCTGGGTACCATCGGCGGGGCTATGCTTGCTGTTGACCCCCCTGGGGAGGGCCCTCTCTCATGCTGCCCCGGCCCTATGGAATGATCTCCCCGTAGAGATCCGGACCCTCACTACTCTAAAGCCACTAAGACCTGGCTGTTCCGGCAGGCCTGGGGCTGTTGATCAGCATCCAGCCCCATTTTAAGTGTATGTATGTTGCGTAATTTTAAAATAATTTATTTCTATTTTTAATTCCCTTGTTTCTGTAAACCAACCAGAGTCCTCTGGGAGTGGGTGGCATACAAATACCAGTAATCTGAAACTGAAACTGACACATAGCCTTTTTCAAGCCTGCAGTCAGTGAAGCTGGGCTGGCTTTTTGCATAGCTATAGCCAGCTGTTGGGGGGAGGAGGAATGACTTCCTCCCCAGGCCCCCATCTGTTTCTCCCCCCTACACAGCTAGATAAAGCTTTGCAAAAAGCCAACCCTCACAGGTGCCCAGCTTCACTGACCGCAGGCTTGCAAAATGTGACCTTTTGCCTGCATCAAACTACACTAGGGAGGGAGAGAGCATGAGTGAGCCAGGCCCCTTCCCTCCAGCCTTTGCCCAAAGCCCCACACCGCACCAGGAGGATGAAGTTTGAATTCCTGTCCCCCTCTCTGACCCACATGTACCTTTTCCAGCTGCTTCAGAGATGGCTTCAACGCTGCTCTTATTCGGTTCCCCTAAAGAAGCCTGTGCTCGCTTCCTTCTCTTTGAGAAGCACATTGCAAACAGGGGCAGGCCAGGGGACTATACCAGTATGGAGGTGTGGCCACACCACCGCCGCTATGAGTATGCAAACATACGGCCAATTTCTGCTCCTAGTACGTCCGTACCGGTGGGTACCAGGAGCAACCCACCTCTGGTATATCACCAACCATCACATCTCTAATGTTACCACAGGTTAACATTTATATATTAATAAATGCATACATTTAGCAACAAAGGTATCACCATACATACTCTTTTTGTTCTTTTATCCAAATTCTTTAAACACTTCTTTTATTCCTTCTTAGGCTAAACTTTTATCATATTACTAGTTTTATCAGATTCGCAAATACGTTTCTGTCACACTGTATAAAATATTCCAAAATGGCATCCTAGTCATTTTATGATACACATCTAAATCAAGGAATATGCGATAAAACATTCATAGTCAAGAAATAGAACTGTAAATATTGACCTTCATTATTTTCACCGTGCGTTTACTCAACTAAGTATTTCAAACAATGCTTTCTAGTAAAATAAAGGAGAGGTTTCTTCAGAGATGTAGTGCAAATTGGGTAGGTACAGGGAAGGCACAGTGCAGGTTAGTGATGTTGCATGTGAGTGCATGAGTTGCAAGTGTGGCATGAGTGCAAAAGGGCTGGGGGAAGGTGCATCAGAATTTACTCCAGCAAATTCCGACCTTCCTTGTTGGCTTCCCCATCAATTTTCTGGGGAAGGCAAAAGAGAATTTGCAAAAGGCAATCACTAATGGTGGGATGTTTGGTAATTGGTCATAAGTGTGAATGGATAGCCAAGTAATCAGATCACACAGACATTAATCAAATCATATGATACCCCACTGACTTTGCTTCTTGGAAACTGGCTGGGAAGGTCATATTGATCACATGAACCCAGGATGCTGCAACCATCATAAATACATGTTGGTCCCAAATACCTGAATTTTAATCATGTGATCACAGGGAATCTGTAGTAGTCATAAGTACTGGTCATAAGTCACTTTTTCAGTATTGTAACTTTGAATGGTTGTTAAATAATTGGTGATAAGGGCTATCTGTATTTTCAAATCTCTAAAGCAGGTGTGAAATTCAGGAGGTTCTGACAGGTTCTGAAGAACCAGTAGCAGAAATTTGAGTAGTTCGGAGAACCAGCAAATACTACCTCTGGCTGGCTCCAGAATGGGGTGGGAATGGAGATTTTGCAATCTTTCCCCCCGGGAGTGGGGATGGAATGGGGATTTTGCAATATCCTTCCCCTGCCATGCCCACCAAGCCACGCCCAAAGAACCAGTATTAAAAAAATTGAATTTCACCACTGCTCTAAAGAGTTGTCAGAGAATATCAGAGCCTGTTTTCTATGGTATTGTCCCAGAATGTAAGATATGAAGTGATGATTTAATTTAATATTAAATCAAAAGCAAGAGCAGTTTAATGGTTGAACCAATCATCACAAATGTTATAGGTCCTTTCAACAGAACAATTCAAGAACTATGTATTGAAAATGCTTTTAAGTTGGATTCTAAGGAGATTGGACTTGACTGAATGGAACTTTAGTATTTTTTTAAATTAATATAATCCCATGTGATTGATCAATCTAAACACTGCTTACTTGCATGTAATCTCTTACTGTAGCAATATCTATGTCATCTGTTATTCCATGCCTTTTATGCTGAAGTTCATCTTGAAGAATCTGACTATAATACATCCGATAGCCCATTAATTTGCAAGCGTCAACAGCTGCCTAGAAAATATTAGAAAATATAAAGTTAAAAAGTGATAATATTTCACTAAGAATGAGTTCAGATGCTTAATGGAAAATATTCTTATTCCTACAATAAAAGGGCATTTCCCTTTTATTGTAGTGGCGCACTGGTTAGTACTGCAGGCTACTTCTGCTGATCACTGACTGCCAGCAGTTTGGCAGATCGAATCTCACCAGGCTCAAGGTTGACTCAGCCTTCCATCCTTCTAAGGTGGGTAAAATGAGGATCCAGATGGGGGCACAATGCTGACTCTGTAAAACTGCTTAGAGAGGGCTGTAAAGCACTATGAAATAGTACACAAGTCTAAGTGCTATTGCTATTGCTCTTCCCTCACAAATCTACCCCAAAATTTACCATACTTTTTGGAGTATAAGACGCTCCGGAGTATAAGTCACACCTTAGTTTTTGGGGAGGAAAAGAAGAAGAAAAAACAATTCTGCCTCTGCCTACCAGTATCCATGATATTTGCTTCCTGACTTAGAACACATGTTAACAAGGTCAGCCAATGAATAGGCATAGCAACTAAGTCAGCCAATGAGGGCTATTTGGACTCTGAAACAGTATTTGCCATGTGAGCAACAAGGAGACAGGAAGGAGCCTTGCTTAGCTGAGGACTGAAAGTGAAACTGCTTATGTTTTGCTTATATTTACTGCTACCTTGGAAAACCTGCTTTTGGTATTGTATTGTATTGTATATTATTATTATTTTGACTCCTACGTACTTGTGTGTGCTTTCTGAATGTGATTGCTGCTGCAAACTCTGACCAGCCAGGTCAGCTCCAGCACTTATTGCAATCTGATTCAGCACAGCTGATTGGTGGGTGGATCGGACTGCTGGAATACCCCAAATCAGTTGTTCCAGGCTGCAGGGATTGCCACAGACCATCGCTGCCTCCATGCCTCACCTTTTGGCCTCTGGGGTGGGGGCTACATTCAGTGTATAAGACGCACCCAAATGTTCACCCTCTCTTTTGGGGTGAAAAGGTGCGTCTTATATTCCAAAAAACATGGTAATTTAGCACAACATGAAGAGCCAATATATTGAGAACTTGATATCTCAATGTTCTCTCCCATACCATTTTTGGGGTGAGGGAGAGGGGCAGAATTGGATAAAATATGGTGACCGTTTAAATTCTGCCCATTTAAATTCCCATTTATCTGTTTGTGAAAACCTTTGTATTTATTATTTTCAAACTATGGAATGAAATCCTTTGTAAATTATATTCAACTTACACTTCTCTGCCTTCAGAAGAGCAACCAAGACATAGCATATTTTAACTGATAGTTATTTTTAATGTTTGTTTTCTATATTTCACTATTTTAAATATGGTTACTGATACTAAGCAATATTTTTAAAATAATTACTGAGCAGAAAAGCATAATATAAATCAATTAAGTACAATTTGAGGAATAAATAAATGATTTTTTTAAAGGTTTACATTTCTAAGACTATTTACCAAGCAATATCTTAGCCCTGCTGCAGGGGTGGGTTGCTGCCGGTCCCCACCGGTTCTCGCGAGCCGGTTGGTCACTGGACCCGGAAGTAAGCCTGCCCCGCCCCCGGCCTCTGTCTCCCCGTTGCTCAGAAAAGCAACTTCGGGAAGGTCCTTTGTAGCAAACAGTTTCTAGGACACCTGCCGCCACCAAAGGACTTTCCCTCCGCAGGCCTGCTCCTCCCTCCCACTTGCCCGCCAGCAGAAGCCTTCTGGGAGGTTTTGGCTGGCGGGCACGCAGAGGGAGGGAGGGGAATCCATGCAGAGGTAGGAAATCGCATGGATTCCCCACCCCTTCATTGGAAATGAGGCGGCTGTCAGAGGAGAGAGCAGCGCATGCCCATTAGCTTGTCCAATGAATCCTCCCCTCCTGTTAATTCTTCTTCTATTTGAACAAGTCACGTGGGGCGCACTCTCTTGCTTTGACAGCCACCTCCTTTCCAACAGGGGGGGGAGGAAGAAATTCATCTTTTCCATCCATCTCCATGGATTCATGGATTCCCCCCCCCCCATTGGAAACAGGCAGCTGTGAAAGACAAGGCAGCGCACTCCTTGTGTCAAATGGAACAGGAGAGGAGTACCATACAGGGCTTTTTAAACAGCCAAACTCCTCTCCTGTTAATTCTTCTGTTTGAACAAGCCGCATGGGGTGCACTCCCTTGCTTTGACACCCACCACATTTCCAATGGGGGGGGGGGAGAAAAAACCCATTTTTTCTGTCCTTCTCCATGGATTCCCCCCAATTGGAAACGAGAATGCTATGAAAGACAAGGGTTTGCACCCTGCATGGCTGTTCAGACAGCAAAAGAAGGAA